TGAGGGATGCATGGCCATCAGAACTTCAAAAATGGGATGTAGGTAGCTTGGAGGGGAGGGTCTGTCATACCTTTACAAGATCACAAAGCAATTATTATTGAGTCCTGGAAGAACAGGAGCATACAGAGAAATTTCTCCTTTTTTGAATTTTCATGACTGTAGATTAAAATCCAAGGCTTTGAGAAAAAAAAAAAAAGATCAGGTGGTAATTAGGACTGGAATTTCCATCGCTAAATGCAATGCAGTCACAAAATGCAGCCAGGGGGTTCTTTTAGGCATCAGCAAAAGAAGCCTAGCATGTGAAAGAAAGTGTGCTGGTGTGAATGAAGAACCTTCTGATCAGGTTTTTGTTTCACACTGGGCCATTTGCATTTGTTCTTGTGCAGCTAGAATGATCCCCTTGGTTCTTTCTTCACTTTTCCTGCTCTTAGCCATTGGCAGGTGTTATCTTTGCTTCGCCTGCTTTTTTTTAATGTACAGGTAGTCCTCGACTTACATCAGTTCGTTTAGTAACCGCTTGAAGTTACAACGGCACTGAAAAAAGTGACTTATGACCATTTTCCAGACTTACGATGGTTGCTGCATCCTCATGGGCATGTGAGCAAAATTCAGACACTTGGCAACTAACTCATAATTTATGATGGTTGCAATGTCCGAAGGTCATGTGATCATCTTTTGCAACCTTCTGAAGCAAAGTCAGTGGGGAAGCCAGATTCACGTAACAACCATGTGAATAATTTAACACCAGCATTGATTCACTTAACAACTGTTAAGGTCATAAAATGAGGCAAAATTCACTTAACAAATGTCTCATTTATCAACATAAATTTGGGGCTCAATTGCGGTCATAAGTCGAGGACTACCTGTATTGGCTATGTAATACTTTGCCTTGCCATGTCTTATTTTTCCAGTACTTAGAAAGCCTTCATGGTGTACTAGCTTCAGTGAGTCTTCTTCACTGTCCTTCAGATATTCTTCGAATGCCCTTCTATTATTTCTAGGCATTTGATTATTCAATCATGTGGCAGGGAATTGAATTATTATTATTAAATTAAAATGTGTATGCTGTCTAACTCTCAGCGACACTCTTCTGAGGAATAGTTGGAGGCAGGTAAGAATAAAGAAGGCTGTGGAGACAACATTTGCTTTTTCAGGTATCTGGAGAAGACAGCAGAACTGTTCAGAAAATAATAATAATAATAATAATAATAATAATAATAATAATAATAATAATAATAATAATAATAATAATAATAATAATAATAATAATAATAATAATAAAGTTGGAAGGGACCTTGGAGGTCATCGAGTCCAACCCCCTGCTCAGGCAGGAAACCCTATACCATTTCGGACAAATGGCTGGGGAATGGAGGGGCAGAGTGGGGGCGGGCAGGGGGTGGAGCGGAGGCGGGGCCAGTTTTGGGGCACTCGGTCTCTAAAAGGTTCACCATCACTGGTTTAGAAACTAGAAGATCATTTGTTGAGGCTGTTGTAGTGATGAATTGGACAGGAGTTTGGATTAGATGACCTTCAAAATCCGTTCTAAACTTTATGTTCTATGAAGAGGACTTGCAATATTTATTTTGAGTAAAATAAGAAGAGAAAGTACATGCTGGTTGATTCAAGTTAACTCAGGTTTACTCAGCCTTCCATCCTACCGAGATTGGTAAAATGAGGACCCAGACTGTTGGGGGCAATATGCTTCATATAAACCACTTAGAGAGTGCTGTAAAACACTATGAAGTGGTATATAAGTCTAAGTGCTATTGCTATAGTATTTAAGAACTTATGTGAAGCTCTTTATTTCCTCCAGTGAATTCTGAAATTGTTAAAGGCTTCTTAGGGCAAATCTGCTTAGAGCAGTTGGACACTTGGGGTCTCAGGGTTATTGTTTTATAAATAAATATATTTGGCCATACTTTTGAAGAGGATAGTCAGGAACAGGAGCTGACAAAAACAGGCAGAGCTACTAATGATTTAGGAAAGTTTCCTCCATTAAAAAAAGGCATGCTTGTAAATTAGATCACACTGCATGTCAAAGTTCTTTAACCTAATTCTAAAAACAGTGCTTATCTTCCTGCTTTGCTGACCTCAATGATAACAACAGGAAGAATTTAGAAAGTTGTGCTACAGTGGGGAGGCAAAGTTTGTGAACTCTATAAGACTATATATAATCTGCAGGACCCATATTGTGATTAGAACTTCATCTAAATCTTAAGTGACTT